GTTGATTGTAGCATTTACTGTAGCTAGAGTGCTATAGTAAACATAGCCTGCCTGGGGCCTGGTCCATTCCTTGGTCCGCCACTGTGTACATCATTTAATATGATATGGTATCATATCATGACACTCAACCATCTATTTTCCCATTTAATTGCGTGTCACCTCAGCAAAAATGTCTAGTTAAAATGCATGATACTTTGATACTTCCATTGTGACCAGCCTAAGGGACTAACTAAAAGTCAAGTTTGGCTGATTTAGGAGTTTAGGGACCAAAAGCACGCCAAAAAAAATTGGTTTTGGTTTTATTTTGTTGATTCTCGGGTTTTAGGATATTTTTAATTAGATTTCTATATCTCTTCACAAAAGTAGGTTTTCAAATTAAATAATTATTTCACTTATTAAGCGGCATATTTTTTAAAATCTGCATATTATTTATAATGATTTGTCAGAGCCTATTGCTCAATCAGATTAAAAAAAGATTTGAGTGAGACAAGGGGCTAACTGAAAGTCGAGTTTGGCTGGTTTACAAACTTAGGACCAAAGGCACCGCCAGCATAGACAGAAGTAAAATTATTTAGTTTTCTGGCACATCTAGTTTCACTTCTGTGAAATCGGAGCTCAAAAGGCGGGAAAAAGAGAGTAGCAGCCCCAGGATAGGCAGGCATCCTAGCCTTGCCCACAGAGCACTCATGCTCGGAGTGCTCGGAGTCGGATGTGATGTCTCCCCCCCTCGTCCTCCTCATGCGATTGACTTATTATTATCCATCCTGTCTGTCCGTGCAACATGTCACCGATGAGGTTAGCTAAAATGTCATTCAGATCTAGGTAGGGGATCACACAGTGGCTGCAGCCTGCCTGCAGGTCAAGAAAGCTTTAACAAAAAGACTATGGCGGGGCGCGAGTCCATTGTTTTCTTTTCTATGCTTCTCTCTCCAGGGCCTGACCAATGGAACCACGCGGCGACACAATACGAGTCCGCAATGCGTCTTTTTTCAACACCGGAGAGAAGGGAGGCACCTTGTCAAGGGTTAGGTGCAGGGGAGAGTGGAAGCATGTAGAGGAGCGGCTAGAGAAACGCTTGAGCAGCTGGAAAGGCAAGTTGCTCTCGGTTGGAGGACGACTGGTTTTAATAAACTCTGTCCTCACAAATATGGTTCTCTATATGCTTTCATTCTTCCAGCTCCCAAAAGGGGTCTTGCAAAGACTGGACTATTTTAGGTCCAGGTTCTTTTGGCAAGGAGATGGTGAAAAGAAAAAATATAGGCTGGCCAAATGGAGTGTGGTTTGTAGGCCGAAAGACCAGGGCGGCCTCGGTATTCATGACCTGCAGGTCAAGAATGAGGCCCTACTTAGTAAATGGTTGTTCAAACTTCTTACTGAGGATGGTGTTTGGCAAACCATGCTGCGCAATAAGTATATAGGCCAAAAGGCGGTGTCTCAGGTATATTGGAAAACTGGAGACTCACACTTTTGGGCCGGCCTAATGGCGGCAAAGAAACATCTCTTTCGCTTTGGGTCTTTCGCGATAAAGGACGGGTCGGAGATTCGTTTTTGGGAAGACATCTGGCTAGGCAATGCTAGCCTCCGAGAACAATACCCAGCCCTATACAACATTGCACGCGATAAGAATAATACTATTGCGCAAGTGCTCAGCTCATCCCCGCCAAATATTTCGTTTAGGCGGGATTTGATTGGCACCCGACTTATGTCATGGAATAATCTATTGTCCCGTCTGGATTCGATTATCCTGACACAAGGTCGTGATGTGTTTCGCTGGAACCTTACTACATCGGGGTCTTTCACAGTAGACTCTATGTATCGTGCACTCTCGCATTCTGAGGTACCGGTGAGAAATAACAAAATAATTTGGAAAGCGAAGGTACCACTTAAAGTCAAAATATTCATGTGGTATCTCCGTAGGGGAGTTGTGCTAACAAAAGACAACCTCGCAAGACGCAACTGGTCGGGAAGTAAGAAGTGTTGTTTTTGTACTCACGACGAGACAATTAAACACCTCTTTTTTCACTGTAAGTTTGCGCGTTCTACGTGGTCAGCCATCCAAATAGCGTCAAATTTGTATCCACCCACAAGTGTTGCCAATATTTTTGGTCATTGGCTGGACGGTATTTCAAATAGGTACAAAACGCTAATAAGGGTGGGAGCGTATGCCTTACTATGGTCGCTTTGGCTATGTAGAAATGATGTTGTTTTTAATGACAAAACTGTTTTGCCTTTGCAGGTTATTTTCCGTTGTACGCACTCGCTTCGTACGTGGTGTACGCTACAACGAGCGGAGTACCAACCGCTGTTCAAGGCGGTGTGTACGCTGTTGGAGCAGGTGGCTACGGAGGTTTTTACCCAACATGGATGGCAGCATAATCTCCGGCTCGGTCCACCATCTCTTTCGACATAGGCATAGTGTCGGTCTATAGACTCTACTGTTGCCGAATTGTCGGTCTTTTATCTTTCTACTTATCAGACTACTGGTGTTTGGCTGTGTGCATCCTAGTTATGCAGAGGCCGGGTGATACTCTTAATGCTTTGTATCACTTTGATGCTACATTTTGAGATAATAAAAGCGCCCTTTATCGAAAAAAAAACCCAAAGACCCGAGCCGCTGGGGCACACACACACGCACGCAGCAAAGAATCTGCTGCGGTCGCCGGTAGGAAAGCGACCGGTTGTTCAAGGGCAGGCACCGGCTTAGTCATCGCCAAGAACGCACCTTGGCTCCTGATTTCCTGTATACAATCTTCTGCAATCATCAGCAGACCAGGGTAGCTAGCTAGCTAGCTGGTACATGCATGGGAGCAGGACTACTAGGTAGTGCTAGCAGCCTGCAGCTTGCGGAGCTCGAAATAATTATGTTTGACGTCGCAGCTAGCTCTCAGCTGCCAAGATTACTTTATAATGGAGTTCTTATTGTAGAGATCCTGCTCAACTGCTGACAGTCCTACAAAACCGAATTGTCTAATGCCGCCATTGTCGGACTAGCTGCAAGGATCAAAAGCTTCCAACCGAAACATGATCCGTCCTGTTCTCGCAGACACTATTTTAGATGCGCAGAGTGCATGCACGATTTGTTTTGTTATTTAAACCAAGGAAGCATGCAGATAATTTCCAATTCAGAATGTGAGCCTCGCCGGCTACTATTATATGGATATTTTACAGGAGCACTCGTAGTATATTGCGTCGAAATGATTAGCGAGAGATAGCGTTCCTGCTGCCCTGATTCCCTCATGGAACCAGATAAGAAATGCGACGCGGCACCGATCATGCATGTGCGCCCACTCCGGTTGTCTATGTGCATGGAAGGCATGCGGTTAGATGGTCAAGGCACTCTCTTGCCAAATTGGGCGCCCCAATTAGTCTACAGCCAAATTGCTTCCATCACGAAACTGTCTGCGATTTGAGGTAGCGGCTCGGAGCCCTGAGGTGACAATTTCTTCCTGGATGCAATGCAACAAGCGTTATTTGCCGGACACATGGCCACGTCTCCGGTCAAATTTGGGTGGATGGATAATGCATGCAGGAAAGTGAAGTTCAAATGCAACCCGGCCTCCAGCTCCAGCCTCCAGTAAACATCCCATTCCTGGGCCTGGTAGAAACCTAAATCAGCCAACAGTAAACATCACGTGTGCTTAATTACGTGGATCAGCTCAAGCAGCACTCCCCAAATCGCAGCAATTTTACAAGTAGTTCTATATATATATATGCATGCTTTGAGAACACATAACACGTGCCAGGAGTCAAATTTACCATTTGAACGGCTACTAGTTACCACCACATATATATTATCCCATATCCGTACTTAACTGTGGACATTGAAAACTTCGGCGCTGAGGCCGTTTAATCAAATCATACCATACCCGTACTCGATCGGGGACGACGTTTTTCCCTTTGAAACGAATTATTAAAAAGGAGCAGCAAAAACATGCGGTCCAATTATGATTATTCATTCGCTTTTGATCGCGAGCTCGACTGTTTGTTGCGGGGTTGCGATCCGCCACCGTCCTGCAGCTGCAGTTCCCCCGCGGGTTATAATTGGGGAAGAAAAATAAAAACGGGACGAATTAGGCAGCGAGTCTAATGAATCGTAGGGTGCAGGCTAACGCTGCGCTGATTCGCCTATCGGAGCCTCCCAACAGTGCTGCGCGTACTGTTCCCCGATCCCGGCGATAAATTTGGTTCCAAGCAAAGCCGCTTTATTTGCTAACTGTTCCCCGCCATTAAGAAACTGATCTGGACGAATCATGCAAAGGAGGAGAGATCCGTTCCGTTCCGCGGCCCGTCCCTGTCCCGGTTAACCTACTTTTTCTTGTGGGTGTGTGTGTTTTCGCCATTGCCAGATCATGAGCCATGGACTGTCTGGGTGCCGCCGTGTCGCCGTGACGCGGATCGCCGGGGCGGGGGCACACGTCCGGTCGTGGGGGCGACCACGCGATCCCGCCGGTCCCAGCCGGACATCGTAGGAGGCACGAAAGGAGAGAAGAGAACCCCACCAAGACCGCGGCGGCGCAACGTCGGCAGGCCCGCCCGCGGCCGAGGAAATCAGGCGACCGGGAAATGAACTAGCCCGACAGAATCACAGACACACGCAAGGCGATCCGCCACCTTCTCGTCGGGGACGGATGGATCGATCGGGACGGACGGGCTCAGGTGTATAGTGTAGCGCAGCCCAGGTGTAGTGGTGACAGGCGGGGCCGGGTTTGGTGAGCGGTGGGGACGGGGGCAGCGGCAGACACATGAGCACACGGACCAGGCCGTGGCTGGCTGGGTGTCAGCTGTCGCAGGGTCAGGGGACGGGACGCGCAGCAGCCAAAGTTTCACCCCGCGCGCGTGTATATATACCGGCGGCCCGGCCAGTGTCCCGGTTGCATCTCGCACACCTCCGGCACAAGAGAGCGCAACAGCAACAGCTAGCGCGGAGACAGGCCATCGGCCGGCCGGCGACCATTCGGGCTAGCTAGCTGTTTGAAGCGGTGGGAGGGAGGGAGGGGCCGATGGGGAAAGGCCGGGCACCGTGCTGCGCCAAGGTGGGGCTCAACAGGGGCTCCTGGACGCCGGAGGAGGACATGCGCCTCATCGCCTACATTCAGAAGTTCGGCCACGCCAACTGGCGCGCCCTGCCCAAGCAAGCAGGTAATGCCTCGCCGTCGATCGAACAGTAGCATGAGTTCATGCCAATTTTTGCTTAAGGGAGAACTCGACTGATGCATGTGATGTGTTTTGGTTCGACAGGTTTGCTCCGGTGCGGCAAGAGCTGCCGCCTCCGGTGGATCAACTACCTCCGGCCCGACCTCAAGCGCGGCAACTTCACCGTCGAGGAGGAGGAGACCCTCATCAAGCTGCACAACATGCTCGGCAACAAGTGCGTTCATCGCTTTCCTTTTGCAGCACCCTGAAGAAAGCTCCATACATGTGTAATCAACTGCAGTGGGCTAACAATTGCTGTCCAGGTGGTCCAAGATCGCGGCGTGCCTGCCGGGGAGGACCGACAACGAGATCAAGAACGTCTGGAACACGCACCTCAAGAAGCGGGTGGCGGCCAGCGCCGGGGAGCAGAAGAAGGGCGGGGCCAAGGGCAAGAAGAAAACCACCTGCGCCGACGTGCCGGCGCCGTCTCCGTCTCCATCCTCTTCCACAACCACCACGACCACCACCACGACCAACTGCTCCAGCGGCGAGTCCGGCGAGCAGAGCAACACCAGCAAGGAACTAGAACTAGAATTGGAGCTGGAGAAGATCGAGATCCCCATGCTGGACCTCGGCTTCGACCTCGACATGCTGCTGGACACCGTCACCAACACGCACTGCCCGGCCATCTCTTCGGCGCCGACCTCGCGCTGCTCGTCCGCGTCCCCGACGTGCGTGGTGGACGACGGCGCGCTGCTCGACCTGCCGGAGATCGACATCGTGCCGGAGCTGTGGAGCATCATGGACGGCGAAGGCGGCGCCGGCGCCTGCGCCGAAACGGCGCAGGTCCCGTGGAGCAATGCGGCGCCGTGCGACGGCAAGGGACCAGAGGCGAGCGCCGCAACGGCCGACGACGAGGACGGAAAGGAGTGGTGGTTGGAAGATTTGGAAAAGGAGCTGGGCCTGTGGGGGCCCATCGACGACTACCAGTACCAACAACCGGACCCGCAAGGCCTGTCGGGTCGCGCGGACCCGCTCTCCGCCAGCGTGGACGACCCCGTGTCGTCCTACTTCCAAGCCGGCCCCGCCAGCGCCACGTCAACCATCCATGGGCCCGAAGCCTCTGCAGTTCTCACAGACATCCCCATGGGTCTATGAGATCACTCGGTATATATAAACCGTCCGATCTCTTAGTATAGAAACAAGCACCGCGATCGGACGGCCACGACTGATGCTAGTACACAACATATACATGTACAAACTGTACAACTGTACGCCTGCAACAGGAGTACGTACGTACCCAGCACGAAGACTATACGAAAAAAAGGGATATAGTTAGGCTAGGAAGCACACACAAGCTCGAGGAGATGCTTAAAATAACTTTTCCACACATGCGACCACGTTGCGCCGAAGCAGCAAAGTGGTGCGACGCAAACAAGTCAGAAACGGGTCAAGGTTTCCGGTGCTAATGAACCCGGGATGTAACTCAACTTCAACTGTCAAATGCCGCACACAACAGCGACCAAGTACGGATGCGCGTGCCGTCACGGTGACGCCAGCGCTTTATCATCCAAGAAATTCCTGCTACGGTTTTGGCCGGGCCAATCGGCTCCGACACCTTTGTGCTTTTTTGACAAAAAATGATCTTGGTGAAGCCTGTCTCCTTCCACCTTTCCCATTCGCTGCTCATGTTTTCTACTTCCTGTAACCACTTTGGCTCTAGTTTACATTTGCTGTCGTGTCCTTGAGTGAGCAGGCTGCATGATTGATTCATTTGTCAGTAGGGCGTTGTCGCGGATCATGACATGGAGGTAGGTTACCTAACACGGGATCCGGACAAGCTACGGCCGGGTCGTATTGGGCGAGTAAAGTTTTATTTGTAGTGTAGGATAAAAAAGGTGACTCTTGGACTCGAAGTGCTCTGGGAAGAAACTAGAGTACCACCACTGCCTACTTGTCTATCTATATGATAAAACCTATGTAAGCTGCTTCGTTGTCGATGGACCATGGCTCCAAATCTCACGTGGTGGAGATGAATGGTACGCCTCGTTGAATATTCCGCGTCCCTCACCTAAGCTCAAGTACATCATCATCAAGCATAGCGCAACAGCAACCCTTGTTTCGTCATCCACTGGTACCGGAGCAAGAAAATGGGCTTAGGCCTTTTACAATGCTAGATGCTTAGAAAGATGTTTAAAAAAATAAATCCGATTTTTCTGAAGCATCAGTGACTATTTATATAAAAAAACGCCTAACTAAGCACCTATCCTGTAAAAAAAAGTACCGATGCTTAGAGAAAGTTTAGCTTATTTCTCTAAGCACCTTGCATTGTACAAGGCCTGTCTAATTTAGGTCCACGATAATATATATTTTATGTGTTCCGAAAAAATATATTTTATGTGACGTGGTTTCTTATTTTTCCCGGAACAAGAGACTGGCAAGTACAATAAAATTCATCTACACTGGATTTATCAAGAAAATAAAGTCATCTACACTGGGCTAATCTTATTTCCTTGATGGGCTGGAAGGATTTAACTCATCTAACCACTGGGCCAACGGACAAGTATGAACAACAGAATTGTATTCCGACTTTAGGTCCACCAAGGTCAATTGTTTTTTTTCCTGCAAGGCAATATATTTCGCAATTTTGTCACTAAAATAAAATAAAATTTGGCAGCTCTTCTCCCCCCTACAACAGCAACAAACCCCCGACCCCCAACCCCCGGAGGAGCAAAAGCGAAGCGAGCTCCACCCCGCTCCACGATTCCGCCACCGGCGACAACTCCGATCGAGCTCCGGCCATGGCGGTTGCGTCCGCCGTCTCCTCCTCTTCGAGGGCGCTGGGATCTCACCGCGACGTCCCCGCCCATAGCTTCTCGGCCGAGGCATTCTCCTCGTCCTGGTCGCGCCCCGTCGAAGCGAGGCCGGTGTCGTGTGGCGGCGGCGGCGGCGGCGGCGAGGATGACGTGCTCGACCTGGACTCCCCGTGGGTGGCGGAGGGCGAGACGGAATCGAGGTTGGAGGCGGCCGCGGCGGCGGGACTTCACCTCCGCGCCGAGGAGGAGGGGGGCGAGGATGAGATACGAGACAACCGGCAGCGACAGGAGGACGAGGTCTGGTAACTAATCAAATTGGGGAAACTTCGCTAATCTCGTAGCATTGGTCTGTGGTGTGAGAATTGCAATGCAATTTCTCTGTTCGTACGACTATGGTGCTGACCTGCAGCGTTGGGAGTATTTGGAATTACCAGGATTTGGGCGAGGGTTTTGCCAGAGAATAACTATGAGAACTACGAAATTCTATTAAGAAATATATTGCTGGTCCTTTGCACTATTTCAATTTGGCGCTTGTAGCATTTTAATTTGAGTTACTCCTGTCCCGCAAATTGATTTTGAAGTACTTCTGGATCCTGGTAAATTGCATACAAGGGAAAGAAGCTTTGTTTTACGCGTGTACTGAATTTAGGCTGTGTTGATTCTGAATTTATGAGTGTCTCCGCTTCATCCAGCATTGTTATTTTGCACTATCGTATAACAGGTCATTTGTTTGCTCACTTGATCTCATCATTTACTGCAGTTGATGGCATTGGAAGCGATATATGGGGATGACCTGGTTGAATTTGAGAGCAAAGAAGGGCTCCATTATTTCCAGGTTTCCTGTGCTGGCCATATGTGGTTTTTCAAATTGCCATCAGTGATATTTCCTCTTCTTCCCAGGAAGTGAAAATATGGGTTTAATGGTTTTTCTTCTTTTTATTTAATTACAGATTTACATACATTATGATCTGCATGATGGCGCTGAAGTGTGTGCTAAATTGTCTTCAGCTAGTGGAAATCGAAAAGATGGATGTCCTAATGATTGTACAGAGGAACATGATGATGAACCAGATGAATTCTCTTACACGTGCAACTTTGAGCACCTGCCTCCTTTGATACTGACATGCTTGCTTCCGAAGTCCTACCCAAGCAAAGACCCCCCATATTTTAATGTCACTGCTAAATGGATGGATGGGCATAATGTTTCTCAACTCTGTGAGATGCTTGACACCATTTGGGCAGAGCTACCAGGGCAAGAAGTGGTATACCAGTGGGTTGAGTGGATACGTAACTCTTCTTTGTCATATCTCCTGTTTGATGGTAAAATCACATTGGGTTCAGATTGTCCAACCCACAAAGGAGATAACCGTGCAATCTCAAGAAATCTCTCACTGGAGTCTGTGATCCCTTCAATGCTTAATTACAGCAGTAAGAAGCAGTACGAAGCTTTTCTCGAGAATCTCCATACATGCAGGATATGCCTTAACCAGAGCAAAGGTAGGCCTTTTCTCTTTTTGCTTGTTCGTGCAGCCATACCAATGATTATTCCGTTTTAATGGATTGGCCTGGGCTTTCTTTTGAAGAATACCACTTATTCTATGGCGATCAGTCCACACTGTACTTTGTAATCTTGTTTAACTGTGCCCTTGTGGTAACCAATACCTGGCTGATATGTTGATGCTTCATAGTGGTGATTAAGAACCAATGAACCTGTTATTTATTTCTAGTCGAGTTTCTTAAGAAACTGAATGAGGCTCATTAAATTCATTTCCTTAGTAAACTAACTTCCATTCTGAAACAACCAGGTTCAAACTTCGTCAGGCTTCCATGCCAGCACTTATTTTGTGTGAAATGCATGGAGACCTTATGCAGGATGCATGTGAAGGAAGGTACCGTGTTTCATTTGGTGTGCCCTGAGACGAAATGCAATGCTTCTATTCCACCATATCTGTTGAAGAGGCTTCTGAGGGAAGAAGAGTTCCAACGTTGGGATAGGCTTGCTCTTGAGAAAGCATTGGACTCGATGTCAGATGTGGTTTACTGTCCCAAGTGTGCGATCGGTTGCTTGGAAGATGAGGATAACAATGCACAATGTCCAAAATGTTCCTTTATCTTCTGCTCGTTTTGCAAGGACCCACGCCATCCAGGGAAACAGTGTCTAACTGCAGAACAAAAGCTCCAGCGCAAACAGGTAAAATATCAGCATTGGTGGAAACTTAGAAAGTTAGAATCTAGGGTATTTTGTTTCAAACTTGCATTCATATTTAACTGTGCAGTTCATATGCATCTTGGTAGAGTGTAGCTCAATAAAAGTCTTGTGGTTTAAATCCTTCAATGATACAATTAAGATCTTTGGACAGTACCATACACCTTTGGACCTCTTTGCTGCGGAGTTACTTATCAACTGTTGACATGTTACTAAACATTTTCTATCCGTTGTCTGCAATTTTATGTTTGCAGGCGTCAGGCAGGATGACTGAGTGGGAGATGGTAAAAGAAATGCTGAGTATAAAAAAGCTGTACAGAGATGCTATATTATGTCCAAAATGCAAGATGCCCATCAGCAGAACTGAAGGGTGCAACAAAATAGAGTGCGGCAACTGTGGTCAGTTCTTGTGCTTCCGCTGTGGCAAGGCCATAACTGGATATGATCATTTCAGGTAGACTGTTCAAAATTCAAAGTTACTAGGTTCTTTAAAAGCAAGGGAATCCAGTCAGGATCATGGGCTTAAGTATCTTTATCCATGTGTGATTTGATAAACTATAGCGTAAATCCATCCACTGTAGGAGTAAAGGCTGTCAGCTCTTTGCGCCTGTTGACAATGACACGACGGTGTGGCAGAGGCAAATGGAAGTGCTGAAAAATGAAAGAGGCATGCGAGCTCAGAGGCGCCAGGTAGCTGGAAGCGATACCGTGAAGTGTCCAAAATGCCGTCAAGAAGTACTCAAGGTAACTAAACCTGTCTTTCGAATCTGGAATATGACAGAAGTGGCATCCATTCTGGTCAGTTTCGCAAGGGTGGTTACTGATGACTAATTTAAACATCGTCAGTTTATCTCTCTATGCATGATCTAACCAATGACCATATGCATCCAGGATGATGATAAATACATTTACTGCTGGACGTGCCGAGCTAGCTATTCCACACGGTCCAAGCAGCACGGGCAGGGCAGCAGCAGGTCGAGGATGCGAGGCAAAGGGGCCATCAAGGATGATCAGGGGGATGCATGAAGCTGAAAAGTTTGTAGAGTTGTTCCTGTGCTACCGTTGTCACAGTTTCGCAGGATTTTGCCGTTGGCGTCAAACGCTGGATCTGACGTTATGTGTAGCTGAATACGACG